ATATATTCATTGTATGTCAGTGTCTGTTTTGCTGGCATGGGCTTTTTTAAGATTTTGTTTGGGTTTTTTTGTTGGGGTTGTGGGGTTTTTTGGGGGGTAGGGGAAGACCAAGCATGATTAAAAATTTATTTCTGATGTGTTTAGGGAATTTTAACTAATATTTTCAGACCTGAGTCTGAGAAATTTGAATGGAGTATGTCATCAGGTGGCACAACTACATACTTAATAATGGTAATAACTGAAAAAAAACTTCAGCTGTTTTAACAAGGATGTTTTAAATCTTTAAAGAAAAGTGGGCTTTCAAAGCAAATGTCTACTTAGCATTAATCACATGCTATTTATTTATATGCAAGTCAGGTGAGAAAACTCAAAACTGTTCTTAAACCAAAGGCTTCTTTATTACATTTAGCAAAATAAACACTTTGTTAAAGTTAACTTACCATCCAAGACTAAGGAAAATGTAGATTTGTCTTGTTGACAACCACAAATGTAGACTTTTTTTTAAACTTTCATTTTACTGAAAGTAAAAAGTGGCTTCTCATTCAAAACTCTTCAGCATCCTACACAACCTTTCATCTTAACCCCTTGAAAGAATGCACTGCGACATTAATTGCATATTATTAAAGACAGCCTTCAAATATATTCCATTTCAGGCTCTCTGCTGTAGGAGTAAAAGACTCAGTATCAGATAACTTGCCAATCGTGGCCCATGTGATGGCAGTTGAAGCCTTTCAAGTAAAAGTCTGCAAAACAGGAAGCTTTGCAGACTTCTAAAAAATTTCCACATGGACCTTGAGTACTTGATCACAACTGTGTGCTCCTTCAGGTTTCTATATGAGGAGAACAATCTTGTTTTCCTCTGTAGGAGGATAAAATTAAATTTGTTCTATGACCTCATCTGAGAGTATATGGGACTGTGAATAATATAATCTGTTTGAACTCATTCAAGACCCTAATGAGAGGGCACCCAGAGGCAGCCATGTGTACATTTCATTCCTCAACAAAGTCAAATATCCTTTGCAAATATCCTTTCTTTCCCATAGTGTTAAACCAACCATTTTAGTTGGAGTGAAAACATTCACTTCTAGCTCTTCCCTCAGAAGATGACCTCAAATATATACATGAAACCATGTTCTTGGGTGCACTGAGCTTCCATCCTCAGGTGACACAGTTTATACTCTTTGTGCAGTAACCAAAACTTTTCCCACTTGGAAATGCCCCCCTGCTCCCTGAAACATGGTCTGCTTGCACAGTTTTTGGAGAGTAAGGAATGCTTTTTCAATAGACCTCATCTTTGAGCCTATCCGGACAGCAAAAAATATTTAAGTTTATCTCTGTGGGTGTTGTAAAGAGCTGGCTGTTTTGAAATTCTGGATTTACAGCTTTCCAAATTCTCCCTTCCACGCACTTTTCTTTGGGTATATTTACCTTTTTGCGGATTAACTATGTTATTCCTTTGTCTAAGGAGATCCTTGTGCTATGGAGAGCAAGACAGAACTGTTCTTTAAAAGTAATTATTCTAGTTCTAAAAAAACTCCACCAATGTATGAACTGTTTTTATGAGAACATAAAGGTAAATGATGATCAACCATAGCATATCGGAAAGGCTGTACAAAGTAGGGAAAAGAAGGAAGAAAAAGGAGAACTATAAAAGTTGTATTAAATACATTTACTATGGCAATAGTTTATAGGTCAAAGAAGCATTGATCTCTTAGTAGTAGCATCTCAACTTTCAGCTCAATTATTTGAGACTGAAAATATACCTTCAGTTGATACAGGTTGGTTGGTTTGTTAAATTAAAAAAAGCAGCAGTTTTTAAAGCAAAACCAGTTTCTAAAGAGGATAAATTAACAGGACAAGTACATTGATACGTTCAACTCACAAATATAAAACAAGAGATATTCTAAAGATAATGTCTGTTAAGAACTAAAACAAGCGTACTTATTCCAACCCAGTATTTCTAGATCTCTGACAAGACAGGAGTAGTATTCTGGCGGCCGTGGTATATGCAGGTCTTGTGTATTCTTTAAAGCAATTTCCTGTTTAAAAGAACATTAAAAACATCATTGAGAGAGATTTCAATATTTTTGCATCTATTTAGTCATGTGATTTTTGCAACTCATTCAAAAATATTAAGCTTATGTAAAATTAACTGTACACTGCATTTGTTTTGTTATAGCCTCCAGCTAAAGCAGACAAAGAAGCTGTTTGGTAAATTACTTCAGATACTGGTAATGAAAACATCTGCAATTTAAAAAAAACCACACCACAGATGTTGACAACATAGTCTTCAGATGCAAATATCAAATGTGCCTCTTTTTCAGCTAATAAATTTGAAGTCAAGCATCTTGACTGAAAGAACGTTTCAAAAGAAGGTTCTATTAAGCCCACAGCTGT